AGCCTTGGCCGGGCCACCTGCGGGTAAAGCTGGCAGGGACCCGGGGCGAAGGGCCGCGTGGGAAGTGGGCGAGCAAAGTCGACTTTATAACCCTGGTTTTTAGGAGAAAGTGAGGCTGAGGAGCCTCGCTCAGCCCACTGCCCTGACCCTGGGGGGCTCCGCTCCCGTGTCCCGTGGGGCTGAAACGGCGGGCAGGGCAGCCGGGCAGGAGGCCAGAGTGGAGGACGGAGCAGCCACCCACTTGCCCGGGCTCCGGGGCCAGGGCCACCAGAGAGCCCCAGGAGGCCAAAGGCCAAACCCCAGGGGCTGTAGCACTGCAACACCCACATGGTAGGGGCCCGTGGGCCGTGGCCAGGACCCGCGGGCAGACAGGTCCCTGTATGTGGGGCTCACCCACGCGCACAATTGCCGGAGACCTCGGGCTCTAGGAACAACTACCCCAGGTTTATCTTACACACGGGGAGACATGGAGCTCACCGTGGCCACCGTGGGGCCGCCTCACCCAGAGAGCATCAGTGATGCCACCGGTCAGCAGGGGTGCTGGACAGCACTGAGGTCCAGTCTCTGCAAAGGTCTTCACTTCTCTTCCTCCTTGGAGGCCGGATGCTGGATGCTGCTTTTCTTCTCTCTTCGCAGCAGGAGCACAGTTGGCATCTCTCTCCCTCAGCTCCCTCCAACCCCGGCTTATCTCCTCTTTCAGGGCGCCCCACCTACATGTCTGATTGGACCATTTTCAATCCTGTAAGCTCACAGCTCGCCTCCGATTGGTCCATTCCACAGTCCAGGGGGTGCTGCTGTTACATGAAAGGGCTCTGAGGCGGCGCAGCTGCCACAACTGACTTGTGGGAGCAGCAGGGAGAGACCAGCCCAGCTGCTGCCTACCCCCTGCTGAGGCGGCGAGCTCCAGTGACACCAGGTGACTTGACCTTCCCCTCTGACCTGAGCACAGTCCGGCCAGGGGTGCGGGCTAGATGCCAGTCAGGAGACACCGAGCTGTGCTCACGCAAGGGGGTTGCTCACAGTGTCCCCCTGGGCCATGTGAGAATGGCCCCTCTAGACTCCTGTGGATGGTCAACAGGCTCCAGCCGCCCCATTCCAGGGGTCTAATATCGGGGTGTGACCAGAGGCATGGGGGTGAAAAGATTCAACAGAGACAGCATGAAGAACAGAAAAGGCGGATTTATCAAAATACCCCACAAGGGAGCAGGGGGCGAGGCGGGACACACCCACGTGTGGGGTGAAAGGTTTGGGGCTCCCCTTTATAACCTGTTTTTGCGGGCTCTCTCATGACCGGGGGTTGGTCTCTGCCAGTTGCTGTCTGGGGGACATCAGGTTCCAGGGGGTCGTCTACGCAGGTTTCCGCATTCCTCAGAATTCTCGGTAGCCCCCTAGTGGTCGCGTGGACCAGCGGCCGGGTTCCCATGGCAACCCCATCAGTATCCCTTTCTGATCCCGCTTGTGTCTCCCAGCATAGTTCAGCTGAGCAAACTGCAGAGACTAAGTTTTAACTCTTAAACAGCACCCTGACACCCCGCCAGTCAGACCAGCAGAACTGGGATGTGGGCTCCCAGCCACAATCACTGGGGCTGCCCAGGTGATGGACCCCCAGACCAGGCTCTGACAACCGTTCACCTCACCTCCTAAACACTCTAAAATCTGTGGCTGTCTCCCCATCCTGCAGTCACCACCAGGGTCACGCGTTCACTGAAAAGCGTCCGTGCAGCACTGCTCTGTCCTGGGTGCTGAGCCAGCCGCAGCCCCAACAGGGAGCAGGCTCCCCGGCGACTTCTGGGTCTTTCCGCATCAACTCTAGGGCACCTGGAACCCCATCTCCAAACCGCCTTCAGGGGACAGTTAATGCTCATGTCACATTGTCACGCCCACTCAACCCTCCTGTGCCCCCTCCTTGCCCCGGGGGCATCTTTACCATGGCCCATGGCGCCTGTCCCTTCATTCCATCTCCCACCACACTCCCCCTTGGCCACTGCACCTGCTGGGTACCGTGCTTCCTCGTAGTGCAGAGAATGTGTCTTTCTGGTCCCCCATTGGGAATGCTTTCCCTGCAGTCCTCACCTGGGTCACTCCTTCCCTGACAGGCTTAAGAAGCCCAGGTCGTCTGCTGACTGCCCCCTGGCGGGATGTCCCCTCCCCTCCGCCGAGTGCCTCCGTGGTTTTTCAGGACGATCAGATCAACCTCTGCCTCCCTTCTTGCCAAATCTATAAGCTCCATTATCTCCCCAGCATCTAGCGCCGTGCTCAATAAATATTTACTGCCCAGGAGATGGACAGGATTTATATTTCAAACGTGAAGAATCGAGAGCCAGGAAGGTGCCATCAGTTGCCCAGTGGCACTTGTCGGGTAAGTGGGTGAGTCTGAGCCGGAAGCCAGCCTGGGCCCCAAGGGCACACGCCGCGGGCTTCCTGCCCAGCGGGACACACCGAGCCCCTTCGGGCGTCACCCCCTGAGCCGCTGCCTCCGGCTCCGCTGCTGGCAGGGTGGGCTGGCCGGGGATGCAGGACGGTGGCCAGACTCCAGACGCTGCGGCGTGGACCACGCCCAGCCTCCGGGGACCGAGGGAAGCCAGGGGCATGTCTCCCTATTTCCACAAACCCCTCTGGTCTTCCATTTTCATTACCTGACACAGAGTCTCCACCACGGAGGAGGCCATTAAGTCCTCGCGTGTTCCGAGGGATCAACAGCTCATGAAATGGGATGTCTTTGTTGGCGCAGTGAAGGGCCGCGGCGGTCAGATTTCTATTAAAAGTGGGTAGTTAAGCCAAAGCCCGCGGCGAGCAAGGGAGTGATGAATGTGCTGACGCGGTGATAGATGATAAACATAATAGAGCTTGAAGGAAATTAATGATATTTTGAATCTTTAATCATGGTACATGACGGTCTAGAAGAGATATCTCCATCACAGCGCACTGCTTCCAAAAGCAGAGGGGGCTCGGCTGACGACGGAGCAAAACCTTGGCAGGAGCGTGGGCCGAGGTGAGCGCGGAGCAGAGCAAACGAAAACCGCCCGACTTGCCAGAGGGTCGAGGGACTTCGGCCTTTGGTCTCCTTCCACAGGGTCCCGACGGGCTGTTGTGCGATAAATTCCTTTAAAAACAAAAAGCAGCGCGAGTCCGTCCAGTGCAGGATTGGAAAGATCAGGTTCATGGGCGCCCCTCTCCCAGCCCCGGCAACAGAGCCGCTCCGCCCTGCTCGGGCCTGCCAATGTGGGTGCCCCGCGGGGCCACAGTTCTTGAGCCTTTGTCCATCGAGAGTCTGGAAAAATCCACACGCGCCCCAAGAGGAAAGGGCGAGAGGCCACCCGGGGGATGTCCGCGGGGACGCGGGCTCACGGTGACACCCAGAGCCCGGTGCAGTGTCCACACCTTAGGGACATGCCGAGCCAGTCCCCGAGATCCCGGGAGCTGGAGGCCGCCTGCCGGGGGGGTCGGCGCTGGGCGCCCGCGAGTGTCTCCCAGGACCACCTGAGCTGGGGGGCAGCAGGAGCCCCGACTCCTCACGCTGGCCGTGCCGCAGCCCAGGCCCAGTGGGAAATGACTTGACGTCGTAGAAAACCCCATGGAACCTCGCCATCCGCCAAATGGGACGTCGCCGATGGGGAGCAAAGCCCAGCAGCCACCAGTGGACCAGGAGCTGACCAGGGGCCAAGGCGGAAGAGCCCGTGGTCAGGCATCTCGGCGCTGTCCAGAAGGACCCACGCGCACGAGCTCACAAAGAGCCCCAGCGCTGCTTTCTGACACGGCAGCAGGCCGGGAGCCGGAGGCAGAGGGTGGCGGAGGCTTGAGGGCGAGGCGCCCACCCCTCCAGGAGGACCGCTCTGTGCCACTCTGAGCCTGTGGCGACCGGGAGGGGAGCGAGCCGTGACACAGCATCTCTCCACCTCGCCCGCGGGGCCCGGCGCCAGCAGCACAGCGGCGGACCCAGTGCAGCCCACATGGAGGGGCCCAGCGCGCAAAGGAGCCCAGTCTGCCGCTGGGGGCTTGGCCGGGGCGGCTCCGGCCTAACTCACCATCTTCTGAGCATCAAGGTTGTGCGCTTTCTTGATGCCAAAAACCACAAGCCGGAGCCCCAGGAAACCAGGCCAGCCTCCTGGAGGAGCCCCGCGGGAATCAGACAGCACAGAGAGAAACAACTGCCAGCACCAGCCAGAGGAAGCCCTCTTCAGCCCACGCCAGGTGGGGGGGGTGGCCTTAGGGCACAGCCCACCTGACTGCAGTCAGCCCAGAGCTGGGGGCGTGCCGAGGGCTCTGTAAGCGCGAACATTCTTCCTATGATGTCAAAAATGTACAACAAACGCTTGGCGGGTGTCTACCTACAATCCAGTTTTCCAGCGGCTGTCTCTGTGCCTAACCAGAGGTAGGAAATGTTTCTTTCACAGCTGCTGAAAGTTTGTACCTTTCACCAGGAGGACAAGAGCCCAGGCAACAGTGTCAGAAAGCGTCTTGTCTTGGTCGGGGACTCTCAGATTGTGTCAGCTTCCTCCAGAGAAGGCCCGCCCAGGACAGAGAAGGGCCTTGTAAAGCTTGTGCTAATCCAGGTTCAATTCGCTGGCTAACGTCCTTTAAGAAGTGAGACATTCCAACAGCTTCGTCTTGCCCTTTGCATCGGAGGCCTCCTGGCCAACACTCAGGAGTGCAGGGGTGCAGCAGAGCAGGGTGCCATCACCCCAACCCAGGAGACAGACTTTCACCCCAGAGCTGCCCTTGAGCAGCTGGACACCCGCAGCACCTGCTTCCCTGCTAAGGGCACCTCTCCAGCTCCGTCCAGAAACCCTGCGTGACTGCCATGTGCAGCTGGGTCTGCTAGCAAACTGGTTGCCAGGATGGCTGGGGCTTCCGCAGCCCCTCCAGCTCGCCCTCGTCCCTGCAGGTCCTGGCTCTGACTGTGCTGCCCCTCACTGGAGCTGGCACTGAGGACAGAGGCACACCCAGCAGGGACCCCTCTTGCTGGACCCTGGTGCTAACTCACCCTCGGCCACAGCCCATTCCTCAGTGGTCACCTGCCAGGAGTGGGATGCAGTGGGTCCAGTGGGAAGATTCACCAGCCACGCTTCCAAGAACAGGCAGCCTTTGCAGGTGGGAGCTCCAGGCAGTTGGGCCCAGTTGGACCGGGCTCCTGAGTCCTGTTGTCACTTTGTCTCCAGCAAGGGCCTGGCATGCTGGGCGCTGGACAAACATTCTTTGAAGAAAGCCTGGATGCATGCTTCAGAACATGGAAGTAGGAGCGGGCAGGGGGAGGTCCTAGAGCTAATTTAGAAGAAGCACTTGCCTTCGGAGCTTACACTTAAGGTAGCGTAGCAAATTAATTGGCTAAAATGAGCAAATGACAACAGCCACCCTGTTCCTTTGAGTTGAGGTGATGCCTTAATTCTAAATGTTGGGAAATATCTGCAAAGAAGGTGTTTGAGCTGAGCCTTACATTATGGATGGGAATTCTGACAGAGTGATGTGTGCTTTGCTCCTCCATCCCAGCCAGTGGCAGACATCATTAGCTGATCACTCAGCAGCAGTGACAGACATGAGTAATTGATGACAGCTCCCTTTCCTACTGAGCTTTGTAATCCTTCTCAACACTGGCTCCCAGGCTCACGTCCCCATGCATTTATTCACAGTCCTGTCCCTTTTCCAGACCAGCACCTGTCAGAATCCAAGCAATCCAGAAGGGGCTCAGTGCCCTCTCAGCCTTAGGCATCTTCTTCTCCTGGGTTTTGGTCTATACTCCGCATCAGCCCACACCCGGACACCTGTCCCTCTATGCCTCCAGCAGAGCAGAGAGAAGAGGGCGTCTCACACTGTCCATGTGACCAAGAGAGCAAGTCCACAGTGTCAATGTCGGGGCAGAACTACAGCCCTGGGGTCCTGGGGAAGGAGAAGGAGGGAAGGAGCCTATTAATCACTAGCTTTTTGGCTTACTTAGATCGGTGAGAGAGAGAATGTTTTAGCCAACAGGCCATTTGCAATGCCAGTACCTGAGCCAACTTGTGTGAGGACGCCACGTTGGTGCGTGTCCGACTGTGTCTCATAGACTTTGGCTGCTATTGTTAACTGCCCAAGGTACCCTCGTGGGCAGCCAGACCAGGCCTAAGATTAGAAATCCTTTGCGATTTGCTATTCAGTCTCTAAACAGCAGGTAGACATCAAATGGGCCATAACGATGATTTAAATACCACGAGATGCCTTTGTCCCTTCTGATTCCCCATTATACTCTTGTATTCTCAACCCAGAGTAACCGTTTGAAGTCCCTAACTTTCTTAACTTCAAAGTTTGCTCAGTGCCTGAGTAACAGGAGGCTCTTGGGGTAGAATAGTAAGTGGGTCTACTACGCGGGGTATAAATAGTGCACATCTGAGAACATCCGTCTTCAAAACCCTCGGCATTCACGGAGGCGGCTGCTGGAAGATTCCACCCTTGTGTGAGGCCCTATTATAAACATCAGAGTGGAGGAAACTTGGGGGGCGGGGGGAGTCTTGTTCATTCACGTGGGTTTTGTCAGTCTTCCTTCCACAATGCCTCCCACAGGCCGTCTGAAGTGCCCCGCAGTCCCTGGTGACCGCGCAGCCATCTCATCAAAGAGAGCTGGTTCTTCCCCCATTACTTTGTGGGGCTCATGATCCCAAATGCTCTCTCAAGGGCCCTCAGCCCCGGGGAGCTTATCAATACTCTCCATCGACACAGGACATCCAGTAGTGATCGGTGAGCTCTTGCTTTCCTTTTGAGGTGGAGAGTTTTCCATTCCGAAATCGAGGTGTGGTCACAGCCACGAAGGGGCCTCTCGCAGTGCCGGGCGCAGGCCACAGGCCTCATCTGCCTGGTCACCAAGCTCTGTGAGCGCCTATTTGCAGACACGCAAGCGGACTGCGGGCTCCGGCAGCTGCCCCCGGGTCAGTGTCCACCAACCGCTGGAGCCACAGGTTTTCCTCTTCAAATTCAGTCTCCTTTTCTTGTTTCCTGTAAACCAGACACACTCCTCAAGTGACATACACAGATACATCTATATTTCCATATTATATGTATTTATCAATAATATATATTTATATAATATACATAATATACTATATAATATGATAATATAATTATATATAATATAATAAGATTATATTATAGATAATATAATATCTATAAAATATATAATATAATATAATATGATATAATATAATATAATATAATATAATATAACAAATATAATTTCTCTAGTGTTTTAAAACCTTGGGCGGTCTCCACTACGCTCTATACTCAAGCAATTATTTCCTTCCTCGCGATGGGAGGCAGCCATAGTTTCGTCTCGCAGGTGGTAAACTCAGTCAGGCAGCATCAAATCCTTTCCCCCGTGTTCAGCCCGGGAAGGCTGCCTTGAGGAATAAAAGCCCCCTTCCTCGGTGTCCCCACAAGCACCCTCTGCCTTTCTACTGGTCCTCTCACGCCGCGGCTGTTCACGGTTTTGTCCCAGATGGTCTTGATTTGGGGGCCCTGCTCCCTGCATGTGAGCCCCGCAGCTCTGGAAATATTTGCCTTCGGTATTTTCCATCGCTCGGAGAACGTGATAGTGTTCACCTCAAACGGCGTTGCAGAATTTTCTTGCTCCTCAGGCGGTTCTGGAATTCGCAGCATGGTGGCGCGTAGCTGGCTGGGGCTGCGTGGTTTCTTCAGCTCTGCTGTCTGGAGGGACAAAGTGCTCTTGGTGCTGCAGGCCCGGGAAGGGCACCTTCCAGCACAGACAAGGGCGACTCACGAATGCATGTTTTTCCAGTTAATCTCTCTTCTGTGCCTGCACCTTCATGTCTGATTTCTGAAGGTTCTGCCAGCTGTCTTCAGTGGCGCCATCTTGATCCAGCCCATTGGGTCGGGGATGTCTCACTGCTCGCTCCCGCGGGCGGTCCCTGGACCCCGGCCCTCGCCACCCGGGCTCAGCCTGCCCCTGCCCGCCATCTTCCTGCCCCCCACCCTGCTTCACCCCGCCCCTTCCTGTAACGCCACTGCTCCCCAGCCACCTTCCCTTGGGTCATGTTAATTAATGTGCCCTAATCACCATGTTAATATTAATACATCATGTTAATCAGCAATACATCAATTGTGTGTCTTCTGAGGACATGCCCACATAACTAATCTTTAAAAAATTATGTTCATTTGAAATGGCACAGATTTTTCTTATTTAGCACTGATTTACGAATTGAGAGCGTAAAAGACAACAACAAATACCTTCCCGCGCTCATTCGCGGAAAGCAGGGGTCTCGCCTCGGGGTTGCATTTCACGTCGCATGAGAAGCGCATCCGCTGTCCTGTGAGAAGCCAGGAGAAGCTGCCGGGGCGCCGTCGTGTGAGTCGAGTGGACTTGGAGAAGCTCGGAGGCTTCCAGGCTGCAGGGAGCGGGGGCTCGAGCCGGGGATGGCTGTCAGGTCGCCCAAACACCAAACACCGGGGCGAGCAGCGAGCCACCAGAGACTCACAGGGTGGATTTTAATAACTTTCTTGGGAAATAATTTGATGTTCTCGTGAGCTTTGCCTGCTGCGAAGGGAGATGCCCCGGGACTCACCGCCGCCTCCTGGGAGGCGCTGGGCTCCGTCGGGGAGGGCCGCGGGGCCTGGCGTGCCCAGCACGGTTTTCACTTCTTCAAATCAGCTTCCACTGCGTCTCCCTCGTGTGGAATCAGGCCCCAAAAGGGAAGGAAGGCTAGTTCCGGATAACCGGGCTCTGAGTCTAGACTGACAGAAATAAAACTCCCGGACAAAGGAAAACTCTTGCAGGCCATGGCGCGCACAGGATAAATCACAGAACAGAAAATGTGAGGTTTTCGTGAGGGACAGTTTCTTGGGGGGATTCCTCTTGTGTCTGCTGAGAGCCAGAGCTCTCCCCGAGTCAGAGCTCGCCCCAAGTCAGAACTCACCCCGAGCCAGACAGCCAGGGCCGGGACTCCTGCTCCCGCGGGCGGCCTCCGCCGTGTTCATGTCTCCTGTGCCCTTCCCGTCACACCGCTGTGGGGAGCTTGAGACGTCTGGGAGCAGAGTTCTGAGCAAGAAATCAGAGAATCGTGTCTGAAGCCCGGAACTGACCGCACTGCCCTAAGGGCCCGGGACTCCAAAGCTTCCACCCGGTTCTGAGCTTGGGGAAAGCCTGACCCTCCACCAGCTGGAAAGACAAGACCACACCCAAAACCAGGCCTGCAGGAAATTAAGGATCCCTCTGGGGAGTGCCTCCTTGGGGTGCCTGGCCGGAGGGCCTTCACGCCCCCATTTTAATCACCCCATTGCATGCATGCTGCCCACCACTGCTGTAACAGGGTGGTCCCAGGAAAGGGGGAGGTTCCCTGCCCCACCCAAGGGAGGGTGGAGCTGAGCAGGGAGAGGAGAAGCTGCAGAGGAGACTGAGGAAGGAGCAGGATGGAGCCAGGAGACCTGGAGGAGGCGCATGGAGCCTAGAGACACGTGAAGAAACTGCGCTTGTCTTTTGGTCGTGGACTGGGTGACACAGATGTGGGTGAGACCCGTGGGGAGGTGACCATGGCAGCTTTTATCTTGATGTTGATTTTGCTCTTTTCCTTCCGGGCTTGTCCGGTTGTTTGTGACCCTTTTCTGTGGGTCCCACTGGAAGATGCTTTAGACTTGTGGCAGGCTTTGGGGTCTTGCTCTGGGCCAATCCCATATGGATGGACTTTCACCCACGAGGGGACGGGTCACTTTGGGTGCTTCATTTAGAAACTAGACTCTTTGCCTTACCTGTATTGTTTTTTAGTTTTATTAAAGTTTCTTCCCATTAAAGTCTCCTATGTTTTGTGTTGATGCGGCGGATGGCAGAACCCATGTAGAATAGGCAGGTTTGTGGGGTTTGGGCTGCCCCCTCCCTGCCCTATAACACTGCCAGGGGCTCCGCACGCTCTCCGGGTCCACCGCCCTGCGGGGCTGGCTGACTGGCGGCCCCCGGGGCCACACCACAGCGAGGTGTTTGAACAGGTGGGATGAGCCGCGCCAGCCTGAAAGCTGCTCGCCTATCTGCCCACCCAGGGGCGCGCAGCAGCGTGACGAAGCTGCCCGGCGGTTTGCTGTGGGTCGCTAGCTCCCCACCCACCCCCACCCCCTCCCCCCGCTCTGCTTTTGGAAAGGCAGGAGTCGGCGACAGCCTTTGGCCCAGGCACGTGTTCACGGAAGAGGAGGAGGCGGCCGGGGGTTGCCGAGGCATCAGCAGGTTTGATGTGAGCCTCTCGCAGGGCAGGGGAAGCTCCTGCCGCTTGGGTAGCAACTGCTCAGGTGCTTGTGTTACCGGGGAGCCAGCAGGCGGCAGAGCCCACGAGACTGTTGCTCGTCGGAGGGAAGAGAGAGGGGCCTTCCTGGGCTGCTTTTGTGACTATTTTAACCCGGGGGCTGGCCCAGGCCGAGGCGCACCCCGAGGCCGGCCCCGCACCGCGGCTGCGCTCTCAGGCCCCGGCACCAGAGCCGGCCCTGCTGTCCCGCAGCAGCTCCGCTGCCCCCTCGACCCCTCTCCACGGTGCCCGAATCCGACGTCCCTGGCTTCTGAGGATGGGGCCTCTGACAGCCCCGTTGACATGCGGCTCTGAGCAGAGAGCAGCGAGTCCCCTGCAGGCCGAGGAGAAGCTCTGTCCTGGCCCCGGTCTCCCCAGTAACTGCAGGAGAGGGTGCCCCACGCTGAGCCGCTGCTTCCCTGCTGGTCAGAGCAGTAATCATGCGCCCCCTTTCTGACCTGGAAGAATGGAGTCTGGGGGCTCATCCGACGGAAGTGTATCATAATCACGTCCTCTCCGTCTGAGAACCTCACCGCTGCTCCCCGTCAGGATGAGCCCCCCCTTCTCTCCCTGGCACCCCGGGTCCCTAAACGCAGGATAACTGCCCTGCCCCCTCCCCCCATCGTGCTTGAGTGCCCAGGCAAGTGCTCTTGTGTGTTACTGAGCTGACCTTTCCTGAGCCCCTGCCTGAGGCCGTTCCGGGGGCGCCCCAGCAGGCAGGAGCCCAGAGGGTGCAGGAGGGTTTGTGCCGCGACCACTTCTTCGAAGGGTAAGTGGGGCTTGTCTCGCTGGAGCTCACCCTCGTCCCGCCCTCCCTTGCTACGTCTCTTCTCTCTACCAATGGCGTTGGAGGGGGGGGGTGTGCGTGTGTGTGCGTGTGTGCGCGCGTGTGTGTGAGATCTACATACATGTGGATAGAAATATTTATCTTCTCCATACTGGAGGAGCCCCCCCCAGCTCCAGGCCGCCCACCTCCACTGGGGGGCTCCCGGCTCGGGCCCTCCCCGCCCACGGCCCGTCTGCTCAGGCTGCGGTAACCGCATCACAGAGGGAGCCGTCTACACCGCAGATACTGGTTCTCACATTTCTGGAAACTGCAAGTCTGAGGTGAGGGTCCCGGCAGGTAGGATTCAGGTCAGGCCCCCCTTCCTGGTCTCCGGGAGACCGCCTTCTCTCTGGGGAGGGGGTGTTCGCATGGCAAGGCAGAGCTTCGTCCTGTAAGGACCCCCGTTCTATGGGGTCAGTGCTCCCCCTTCTGACCCCTTATCCTCAACCACCTCCTTAAAGCTCCAACACAGTCACGTGAGGGGGGTGGGGTTCAGTGTAGGAATTTGGGGGGGACACAGTTCAGTCTATCCCACTCACCCACAACACACCAGGCATTGAGACCTCTCCAGGGTGAGTCAGACCACATGACCCTCAAATTCCAGCCAGCGGGGGCCCCCAAGGGCCCTTCCCTGGCCCCAGGTGTGCACCAACGGCCCCCCCATCCCTAGCAGGTGTGCGCGGAGCTCAGCCTCCTCCTGCACCTCCCGGGTCTCAGTCAGCATAGATGGGGGGACCTAGAGAGAGCTGCTGCCTCCCTCCTCCACGCCCCCTGCAGCGCCCCCCCCCTTCCTGCCGGACGCTGAGCCCCGCCCTGTGCACTGTCGCCTCTGAGCAGAGTCCTGTCTTCACCCCCGTGACGGTCGCATGCACCCTGGAAGCAACGCGCCAGATCATTGGCGTGAGGCTGCGCATCACTCTTGCTTCATTAAAGTACACGTCTGTGCAGAATAGATGCTAACACGGAGTGGATGGTAGAATCATAAGTGATTCTCGTTTTCTTTTTTGCTTCTCTGTATGGAACCGCCCCTCATCACCATGGACAAGTGTTTCCCTTATCATCACAGAAAAACACTGAAATGGTATTTTTCAAACTTGGAAAATGAAGCACACGGAAGACTGGCCTGCGTCGGGTGCTGTCACTCTAACCCGAGTAAGTTCCTTTAGAAGGAAAGTCGCTCTCCCGCATACCTGTGGTGGGCAAACCCTTTCATCACCGGGCTCGCCGGGCGGGCACAAACAGAGGGCGTGCCAGCCCTTTGCTCACCAGCGGCCGGCGTGCAAAAGGAAAGACCTTACAACACGAACAAAATTCACATCAGTGATGCTCATTAGGTGACAGATTGCGCTATTCTGCTAACATGAAATTGCCAGTTCTGGGTTTAATGGTGGAAAAATGTATGGGTGGCTTTTGCTCGCTTGTCATTGACCGGGTGTGTTGTACTGTTCACTTGATGGACCGTCATTTGGATCACCATAGTCTCGTCGTAATTCACCCTTCGGATTTTTTTCATGTATTCCCCTAGTCATTTTTAACTGCCGATCCATTATGTTGACAGACCCATCATTTAAAAAGTGTTTTCCAAAATGTAATAATGAAAAATCAAAACATGCCATTTAATGAACGCTTACCCTGGTCCGTCTCCTGCTTCATTTCCTGCTGAGTGACTGTCGCGATTTTTCTCGGTGGAGCGTGTGGAGTCAGGCCCCAGCGGACACGTGCTGGGAGGGGGCCGTGTCAGGACACCGGCCTCAGGTCCTCTCCACGCCAGGGGCGGGGCCCGATTCCCCCGCCAGGCTCTTCTGCCTGGCCTGCGACCTTCCCTGTGGAAGGAAAATAGAACTTCTCATTTGGGGGCCTGGCGGTGTTGCCTGAACAGCCTCTGCTCTCAGGCATTCAGCGCCGTGAAAAAGACTTCCCCTCAGCCACCCTCGTTTCTCAGCTCTGCCAAATAACTCAGGAAAGTGAGCTCTTTGTGAAAATGTTCCTGGCTACGGAGAAGTCTGGCCTTTATAACGAGTTCGAAAATTCCACTTGAGACAATGGCCAACAGACAGAGAAGCCGCCTGCCTCGTGTCACCTCAGGACACTGAGAGTCGAATGTGCCTCAAAATGACACAGCAAGAGTGATCTTCCAGACAGATTGCCTAGTTCTGGGCGATCTTTTAAAGGCACCATAACAATAAAACACTCGAGGAGAATCTGTGGGTAGCTATAAAATTTCCACAAAAATTTCACTTCTTCCTCATCACCACCCACAACCCCTTCCTCTCCCACCCTTGATCTTGGAGCCTGCGTGGTGTTGATTATGTCTGTTCATTTTTACAAGTATTTTTCTTGGTCAAATTGTTCACAGTGTAAATATGTGACATTTGTCTTTGTCCTTCTGACTTGCTTCACTGCACCTATCCCCTCCAGCACGCTCCGTTCTGCTGTAAGTGGCTGCATCTCATCTTTCTTTCTGGCTGCGTAGTACTCCCCAGCATGGATGTGCCACAGTGTCTTCACTGATCATCTGTCGATGGGCCTTACCTGCTTGCTTGTCCTGGCTGTTGGGAGTAGCACAGCAGTAACACGGCAGAGCACGTGGCTTTTGTGTTGTGGATGTTCTTTGGGTGGAGGACCAAGACCAGGATGCTGGAGGGTAAGATATTTCCAATTTTAGTGTTTTAAGGTAAATTCAAATGGCTTTCCATCGTGGCCGCACCAGGTTACACCCCCACCCTTCTTAACACGTGTGGTCCTCAAGGGTGTGAGGTGGTGCCTTGTCGTGGTGACCCCTGCATCTCTCTTATTGGAAGCAACAGTGGACGTTTCTTCTTTGGTCTATTGGCCTTCCAGATGTCCCTTTGGAGAATTGTCCACACAGATCTGCTGCCCACTTATTAGTTGGGGTGTTTGTTATTCTGTTGTTGCGCTGTGTGGGTTTTTATTTATCTTGGATATTCGTCCCTTGCAGGGTACACATGGTGTGAATATTTCCTCCCACTCAGTAGGATGTCTTCTTAATCTTACATTTTCTGTCACCTTGTGTACAGGATGCACCTCTGAGTTGCTGCCCAGCGCTGTGGGCCCTCGGGGTCCCTTAGCTTAGGATATGACTTGAAGCTCTGTCTTTGCCGTCACAGACCCGCCCTGTCTTTGGGTCCAGACTGCCCTCCCCTTGGAGGACATCATCACGCTGGAAGTAGGACCCGCCCTGTTCCAGAATGACCCCCTCATCCCCTGCACATCAGCCAGGACCCCACTTCCAAATAGGGGCCCATTCACAGGTTCCTTGTGGACATCAACGCTGAGGGAATGTTCTTCCAGACAGTAAAAATATCAATAAATAGTCCTGCTCACGCACAAGACACGGCTCCGCAGCTCTCTAGTCCCCGTATTTCACACTCCGCCGCGAAAGTTCCAAGAGGATGAATGTGAGGCCCAGCCCAGCTCAAGTCATAAAGCGCCTGTCCTGACTGGACAGCCAGCATTCTGGGCTCCTCTCCAGCCGCCACTCACTCCTCACCCAGTTAGCTGAGCACTGGATATTGACTTGCAAATACCTGGTGGGGGCAGGGCTTCCATAGTCATAAAACCCACTTCCTGTCCTTAAATCGCGCATTTTGGTTTAACAGCAACAAGGGGCCCCTCCCCAGGCGGCTCCAGGTCTTGCCCCACGTGCCCCGGGAAAGAGCCCTCCCAGCCTTGCATTTCAGGGCAGCAGAGACTCTGGCAAAGCAAGCCAGAAGGAGAGCAGAAAGCTGCTTCCTTTGGGACGTTGTTTTGCAAATGGAGCCTCTGGAAGCAAACCCCTGGCCTGGGACACTGGGGCGACACCTGGGGCCCCTCCGTGGGGAGAGGGAAGTCTTGCCCCCCTCACAGACAGCCGTGGCTGCTCAGGCTGAGCGCCCTCCTCTGCCGGGAGACTCCATCAAAGCCTGCTGCTCAGATGAAATTGGAGAAGGGGCAGCATGGAGGGAGCCCCGCTCGCCGTGAAGCCGGAACTCGCCCTGGGGAGGCGCGCCTTTGTGGGTTTGCTGGCCAGCTCACCTGCGTCGTGAATCACCCCCTGTTCTCCCGGAAGCTGGCTCAGTTGAAGATTTAATCACTTCATTCCCACCCTAGGCAATATCATCCACCAAAAAACTGGTTGAATGCTCCGATTATATTTTTCTTTACTTTGCATTAAAACAAATACATAACTAGAAAGTAAAAACATGGATCCATCAGCCATGCACAGTTTTCTCCAGCCTCACCCCTGGGATGCTGCCACCCCGAGATACACTGATTTTACACACGCTTGACAGTGCCGGGTTCAGTCTCCCCCCAGGGCCCTGCTGTGAGCACGGGCACTCACAGACGTCCATGGGGGCGCCTGTGGGGCTCCTGTGGGGGCCAAGCACCGTGCTGGGCTCCCAAGCCCACAGCCTCCGTCTGTCCACACGCCTGTGTCACCGGCCGCCTCTGAGTCACTCACACAGGCCTCCATGCACGTTCTCGTCCACGGTGGGTTTAGATACTTTCAATCCCTGTCCTTATTTCTAATTTTCCCATTAAAGATGGCAGAACACTCACTGCCAGAGGCTAATTTTCACATCGCTTCCTGGGCGAGTCCCCATCTCCTGGGGGAGCTGGCGAGGCACTGAGCACGGGCAGTTCCGGCCCTGCCACGCCCTGGAGCCCAGGGGCCGTGGCTCAGGATGCGAAGGCTGACCCGGGGCACGGGGTGAGCTCCTGTGCAGAACACCCTTTGGAAAAGCCACTGTCCCCCAAGCTGGGGGAGATGATGGCACAGGAGGAAGAGGAGGAATTCAAGTCTGCGTCCAAGACGAGGCTGAGACACTCCGGGGTGCCAGGGGAGAACCCCACCAGGTGACCCGTTGAAGAAGTTCATTGCTCCGTAACTCGCTCCATATGCATGGCGACCTGCAGGTCAGCGAGTTTCTTTGCACGAAATCTTTATTGCTACTTGCCCTTGGAAGGAACACTCTGGGGCGTTGTCAGTAGAACAAGGGATGACTGAGCCGCTCGGCTGGCCCTCTGGACCCAGCGCCCACCCGGATTCCCAGCCGCGCGGACAGACGGTTTCATCACACCCAGAACACGCCCCGGCTGCCCTGGGGGACGCCCTGCAAGTGGCCGAGCGTCCAGAGGACCGCTGACCCCGCGCTCCCGTCCCCATCCATCCCCCGGGCTGCAGGCGGGCAGTCAGTGAGTACAATAGTGTTTCAAAATATTTACTTTGCCCATGACATATCATTTACTCCACTGCGCTGCAGAGCGTCACCTGGGCGCTCCCTCTCGGTGGCTGCAATCACGCGATGTAAACACTCGGATTGTGTTTGGATGACCTCGTTTCTTTGAAGTTTGCAATATATTTTTAAATTTCCCTTTCACAAAGGAGCAGGAAATACAGTGCAAGTTAGAATCTCAGTCTCTGTCCAGGGGGAGTTAGGAATGTTTAATGACTTTAGATTTCACTGCTGCAAAGTCCACATTCTTCTCTGCTAGCAGCAGCGCCAAGAATGAAAATCACAGAGGCATCTTTGATGTCAAAGGAAAGTGCCTCGAATGGCAGGGAAGGAGGTCGTGGGTGTCACTTCCTGAGCAGAGAGGGGCGTGGCAGAAGCCGGGACGTGGCTGGAGGGTGCAGGCAGGCCTGGCCTGGGCAGGCCAGCACCCAGCGTTTATTTTATGAAATTCCAAGCAGCAGCCCTAACACAACAAGGCCCACAACACGCTTTGCTTTTCCTGGGGTGAGGTTAGTTCCGGCACGAGATATGAAAGAACCGACCTTCACGGGAGCGTCTAAACACCCAGCACAAACTACCTGTTGTTTTAAAAGAAAGAATCAAAGTAAGATTTGGGGCTCACTACCACCTCCCAAAGGCGTCGGCGGCGCGAGCCTGGTCTGTCAGCCGAGCACCTGGCGTTGAGGCTGATGGTCTGAAGCAGGCTGTGAGGACGCGGGCGACGAGGCTGGTGCGGTTGCAGGCCGCGTCGTGGACTGAGGGGCGCCAGGAAGAGCCCAGGCTCCTCAGCAGCCTCCTCCGGGTTCTCCGTCCTCACGCCCCCCACCCCGGGGCCGACTTTCCGGGAAGGAGGTCAGCCCCAGGAGAGGGGGTTCTTGGATCCCCTCTGTCTGGCCTACGTCACGCCCCCAGCCCCTCCTCTTGACTCGGGCGAGCACCAGGTGTGATTACCTGGCGGCAGCAGGAGCCGGCGGGAAGGAGGCACCGCCATGGCTGCCGGCACAGGTGAACGTTCTGGAAGACAGAGGGAAGAGCACAAGCAAGAACAGCAGCCGCGGCCCGGCCCCCTCTGGGCAGGCGACCGTGCGAGCAGCTGTCGACTGGCGCGAGGGCTGGTCTGACTCACAAAGCCAAGGTGAATGTCCCACGTTTCTGAGTCCTTCTCTGTCTGCTACATTTCAAAGCCCCAGAGAGGATTATGATGTTTACAGTTTTGTTCATAGAAAACTAAGTTCAAGCCCCTGGTTGCTGTTCTTAGGTGAGCTGACGCAGGCTCAGGCGGCTGCGGTCCTGCTGGGGTCTCCCCTACCCCGCCAACAACAAAGGAGGTGCCCCCCGAAATGCTTGCATGGCCCCCCACTAAGACAACCAATCCCAGCAAGTGCCCACTAAGAGGGGTGGGGGGGGGGCTCCCTGCCGTAGTTGGAATGATGTTTCTAGGAACTTCCAAGGGCAGCTTCTCACACATGACATTGGAGAAGCTATTTGGGGTGCGGGCTTGGTCGGGAGACCCACAAGAACATCAGGGAACATGCAAGGGGTAGTTCCTAAAGGAAGATAGGAAGGCTGGTACCAGAAGAAGAGGA